CCAACCCAGATTACTATACCCAGCCAAAATGTCTATTGTAGCCAAAGGGAAAAGAAGAATCTTCCATGACATAAATAGGCTGGAGGAATTCATGTCCACAAAACCAGCCCTTCAGAGAGTTCTGGAAGCAATACAAAGAGCTGAAGAAAGGAATGACTATACCCAAGGGGTTGTGGAAAGAAATCCCATGAAGCTATAACTGTGGAAAAGTACAGCTATATCAAGAATGTAAACAGAAATAAAAATGACAGGATTCAATACTCATCTTTCATTAATAGCTTTAAATATTAACGGACTGAACTCCCCAGTCGAAAGACACAAACTAGGTGAATGGATTAAGAAACAAAACCCATCTTTTTTGTTGTCTGCAAGAAACTCATCTCACTTTCAAGGACAGACACTATCTCAAAGTAAAAGGATGGAAAAAAATATACCAAGCAAATGGCATTAAGAAAAAAGCAGAAGTAGCAGTTCTAATATCTGACAAAATAGAACTTAAACTAAAACTAATCAGAAGAGACAAAGAGGGCCACTTCATTTTGATCAAAGGAACAATAAATCAAGAAGATATTATAATCATGAACATATATTCACCAAACTCTGGTACATACAACTTAATAAAAACAATACTACAGGAGTTTAAGACCCAGATTAATCCCAAATCATTAGTAGTTGGAGACTTCAATACCCCCACTGTCTCTATTAGATAGGTCAAGAGGGCAGAGAGTTAAGAGAGGCATCTGAATTAAACAATACCATATCAAATGTACTTAGCAGACACCTACAGAGTACTCACCCAAGCACCAAAGGACACACTTTCTACTCAGCACCCCATGGAGCCTTCTCCAAAATTGACCATATACTGGGGCACAAAACAAAGCTCAACAAATACAAAAAGGTTGAAATAATTCCATGCATTCTATCAGACAACAATGCAATAAAGCTTACAATCAATACTGGAAGAAGTCTTAATCACCATATGAACACATGGAGATTAAACAACACACTCCTGAATGATGAATGGGTCAAAAGAGAAATTAAGAAAGAAATAAAAGTATTCAAATGAAAAGGACAATACAACACACCAAAACCTCTGGACATGCTAAAAGTGGTCCTTAGAGGAAAGTTTATAGCTCTAAGTTCCTACATCAAAAAT